ATAAGGGAGGGTTTTTTTTTTTTTTAACGTTAACCTTTAGTAGTGGGTTAACAATTTTTAAAATCATTAGTAGTTTTTCAAAAATGCTAGCATTAGTAGGAATGAAAACCAAGACTAGTAGTTGAGTTAAAGGTGGTGCTAACCTCAATCCCATTTCTAATATAAGAAAAGCTTCGGATGCAAATCAAACTATGTTATATGGCTTCAAAAGCTTCACACGCACATCAAACTATGTTACATTGCTTCAAAAATTAGGTCTTGGCCGGTTTTCATGGTTCGAGTTGGACCGGCTGTGGACCGGGAGTGCCGCTTGAGTTTGGGTGGTTTTACATTTTTTTTTACGTAATTACAATTTTAGAATATTGTAATTACGGGGAGATCCAAATATGTGCACAATTGATGTGGAGGTGCACACAAACGGCCTTTTTTTATTTTTTAAGTTTTTCCTCTTGGTATAATACCTCTACTATTGGACCGGTTTTAAACACTCACATGAATTGAGATGAGAATGGCACCCAATTCAACAGATATCGAATTAATTACAAGGAGAATGAGAATAAGTACAACTCGATTTCTCATATTTGGAAAATAGATAAACTCAATCTAAAAAATGGGACATTCAATGGGATGCATCTTCTTTGAATGGAAAGGATAAAATGAAAAGCTAATGGTTCAAGATAAGAGTACCACATAATAAAGCATGCGAACAAATAATTCCTAAATATTGAAAAGAAATCCAGCATAAAGCACCCACCTCCATGGAAACCCTAAAGTGAAATCAACCGCAATAGTGTCAATAACATAAATTAGAACAAAACCATGTAAATGACACAACCGCACTCAAAAAAAGAAGAACGAAAAAGAAAAATAGTGGAACCCTATAGCTCAGCCTCGTGCCATAGAAATCAAATTACAACCTAAAATGACTTATATTTTCAATTGGATAAATATTTTAGACAAGGTTTAAAAAAACGGATGGGTAAATCGAATCGGTCACACCCATACTCGTGTTGGACCGGGGGAATCGGTTGATCTGATCAAAAGAATCGGGTGAATCAGTTATTTCTTTCAATTTTTTTTAAAAAGTAATTCAAGAAAAAATTGTTCATCCTGTTTGTTTGCTTGACTAGAAGAAGAATCGGTCGGAATCGGTGAAAAATCGGTCGGACTCGGTGAAAAATTGTCGGAATTGGTGGTTCCGTGAAAAAATCGGCGATGCTACTATTTGGAACCGCTCGAATCCCATTTTTTAGCCTAATCCGGAGCATCCTAGGCGATTCTCGATCCGGATTGCCCGATTCCAAATCAGGTCACCAATTTTTTAAACCTTGATTCTAAATAAAGAAATAAAAAATGAATAACAAAGGCTTAAAGGCTCATAGAAAAAGAAAAAACACTACTTACCAACGTATCTCTCTACAGTCGAGAAGCCACAGAAAAACAGAACATCAACATCCAAGATAAACAAGTCAGTGCCACCAAAACATTGAAAACCATCCTTCAGGATACAAATAATTTTATGGTCCAAAACATGATAAAGCATGCGAACTCTGAATCCTATTAGCATAAAGGATGTCATGAAAAATAAGTGTTTGGTGGCTTTGAAAATTGAGCTGGTAAGTTCCAATCCCCAACACATCATGTGGCACATTATTCCCCATGAAAATCTTTTATCAAAAAAGGGTCCCAAATCCATATTGGCCATGAAAATCTTTTATCAAAAATGGGTCCCAAATCTATCTCCAATATGGAGTTATGTGCTGCAGTTGCATGCAATCGCACGAGCCTTAAAAGATTTCAAAAAGAACTTAGATGACAAAGATATTAACCAGAAGCAACTAATGATGATCACGGTACCGTTGGAGATGATAGCAATGATGGAGACAGTAAGATGATGATGATGAATATAGCATCATAGACGAAAGGGCCTCCTTTCGAGATCCTTATGTGGTTGATTCAAGACTATGGTGGCAAGCGGTAGAAATGAAACCCTAGACGTAATATAATGATACTCTGCTGCCCTAATTACCCAGGCCTATAGGCTATTCCTGAACATGCGACTTCTTTTCATCTTTTCATATTTGGATCGGCAATTTAACTATATGCTTCAATACCTCATTATCTTTTGTTTCCAATTTAATTATCTATTTTGAGTGTCAAATTGAAATAGATCATCTAATCTATTTTGTACCATGGAATGTATCATTACAAAGGCTTGTACTGCGAGATCATGGCAGGAGCATGAGTGGTTAGTGGCAAAGACAAAAGAGAAGAATTTACAATGTGTTAGTGGGGAGCTTATCTTGTCTTCAAGTTGTTTTTACTCTTGTTCAAAGTAATTGGCTATAATTTTGAGTCATTTGATTGAAGTTATCTACTTGAAGCCGCAAATTTCGATGAGGGTCTCAAGATAAAGGAGTCCTCTAATGTTGGGGGTTTGTATTACATCAATGATACCCTATTTTGTTGTTGATTATGTATTTTCTCCTCCACTTTGTATGAGTATTTGACTCTTTAGGGAAAATTAAAAATAAAAATCACGACTTCGAGAAAAAAATAAAGGCCTTAAATGATACTCTACACTCATGATGATGCTGCTGCTGCTGCGATTATATGCTAAGAGAGGATAAAATATTGCAGTTTTACCTAGATATAGGGTTGGCACCCAGCTCAAGCATGTATTTGAATTCCTTTGTTGGCTTGTACTTATAAGTAGAATTTGCTATTTTCACTTCAAAAGGTCTATACGCCTGTGCTAATTTTTCTAGTTATTGTAGCAGATTACACAATTTGGGACCACTGAAAGGCATCAAGGAGTTGTTAGTATTTTGTGTGTTTTGAAACAACTATGGTATCTTCTCATTTGTTTGGCGTACTTCTATGTTATAACACTTGTTCCTATTACATAATAGACAGTTTCTATGAGTCCATGTAGAAATGAATCACCTCTTAAAAATCTATTTTTGAGATGGATTTTTTGACCTAATTTGTAAGGACATGGAATCTCTAATATGGAGATCATGAATATGAAAAATAAATAAATTTTGAAAAGTAAAAATATTAATTTTATTAAAAAAACATTTGGACTGTTAGTTTCAATTGTTTTTAGATGAACCACCCATTTGCATCCATATATGCTTTATACCAGTTAGAGAGATAGAGAGAAGAGCTAACCAGATAAGGACAGTGATGAACCACCCATCCCACTCGAAACTTAGTCACCATTGAGATTGCAAAAATCATTGCAGGTTGACCCAAGTTTAGATAGCTTTGCAGGGAAATGTGAGCTAGAACAAGATGCATGAGCTCTTCCCCTAACCTGCTCTTGAGGGCTGCCCCTTTTCCAGCCAAAGTATGGCTAGTCTATAGCTGACATTTCTCTGTTTTTCTCTGGCGGTTGAGGATTGGCAGCTTGCTTTTGTGTTTCTGGGGTTAGGATTTCTAGAGTTTTGGCCTAAAATTGGTGATTAGTAGTTGATTCTATTGTCGCCTGAGGACTTTCTAGGGTTTTGTGTGAAATTGGAAGTCATTTTTCTGTTGTTGGGTGAAGACATTTTAGGGTTTTGGCCTGAAACTGAAAACACGCACTTCTTTTATGTTTGGGCGCCTCTCTCTCTCACACCTCGAAAATTAGGCTCCTCCTGTATTCTCTTCCCCCTCCCTCCATGCAAAGCATTTGCAAAAGCAAATGGAGGATGAACCTGTGCCACTGTTTTCTTTTGTGCATTAATTTTCCTTTTTGAAAAAGATCGTACCTTCAAGAGCTTGGGCTTGTGTGATCAAATTGGCAGATGCCTGTTCTCATTGTGTTGGAAAAACAATCTTCCAATACCTTCAAGAACCTATGCTATTGCACAGGGGGGCATAACTTGTCGAACCCAAATCCCAAAAAATGTTTCAATTCCTAAATCTGATAAATTAATGTATGTATTTTTCTTTTTCTTTTTTGGTGTAAAAATCTACAGGCATGATTTTTTAAGAAAAAGCTTGTATTTTTCTGAAAGGAACTTGGATCTTATTGGTACACCTCTGGGCTTCACAGTGGTTTAATCCTTACTTTTTCATTTTGATTATTTTTAACGTTATTTATTTATCTATTTATTTATTTTGGGTGAATATCGCAACGAATGAATGGAGTGATGAGGCTAAAATGTTGATTGGTAGTCTTTGGCTCAAGTGTGTAGATTTATGCTGCAGCTGCCATGTCAAATATGGGCTTGTTTGAGGCTGAGATGAGTATTGATGCATTTCAGCTGTTGGGCGTGAATGAAAACCGGTACCAAACACAATCTTTTCTAGTACTAAGAGTTAGAACATCCTGCTTCCTAGGGAGAATGTGCTTTCAAAGATACTGACTAACAACAAATGCCCTTGGTGTTGGAGCTTCTTTCCAATTTCCATTCTCTTCATCATTTTCAGTGTTGGACTCATGCACCTACTATTTACAATCTCTCTAGGTTGAACTTCTTAAGAACCATCTCTTCACCATTCAAGTTTGATTAGCAGCATCCGCTCAAGAAAATCAGTTCAGTGTTCATGTCTCTGAACCACTTTCTTTTGGATGTAGAACTAAATAAAATTGCAATGCTCCTACTGGGGCTAAATTGTTACCTAAATGTATATTTAATTACTCCAAAAAAATAAAGTAGGGATGTTGAATACCTTGAAGACAGTTTCTGCATCTCGCACCTCCAGGAACATATTGAGCACAGTTATCTATTTTGTCAGGTGTTTTTGTCTGTTTATGTCCAAGCAACTATTCCTTCGAAACTCGATGCACACAAACGCACAAATGTGCACTCATACACGCACACACGTGAGTGCACACACACACACAGCAAATCTTAAGGCTTCACATGTTGAAACTAAGTGAGAGATTGCACAATTATGACCACAAAAGCCTCAGCTAGCTTCCTGCCTGCTTAAGGCAGGAGTTCACTAAAAGAAAAATGCAAAACAAATGAATAGTAAATACCTCAAGAGAGAGGGAAGATCCAACCTGACATGAAGAAGCACATTTTCTTCTCGAAATCATATGCTATTTGTATCCATTACAAGTTTCAGATCTGCTCTAATGGCTTTAACTAAAATTTTCCTCTTCTTTCTCACCAGCTAACCAGTCGTGCATGTTCTTTTCTTACTCCTCTGTTGTAACATCCATACTCCTTCCTAAACAGATCCCCTAAAGTAGAATCCAACCATACCATCCTTTTCTCATCTCTGTAATATTACATAGTGTGGTTCCAAGACAACTGGCAGACCCATGTTCAATCTGCCTCTCAAACATAGATAGTAAAAAAGAAAAACAAAGAGAAAAAAGTTTACAAGCAATAATTTCCATCATCCTATTCAAACATTGTGTAATGAAGAAGGTGGTCCTGCGTTCTCCCCCACCTAAATCCATCTCCCAATATTCGCTAACGTGGGACATAAATAAGCCAAAAATCACAAACCGAGGAAGGAACATTGCTTTCTCGCATGCTCTGGAATCAACCTGACCAGGATTTCCGAAGGCACCCCCTTCAACTCTGATACGACATTGTTGCAATCACCATCATCAGCATTATCATCACCACACAGAATCACCGTTAGCACCATCAAAAGCAGTGTTCTTAGTGCCATAATCATTATTATTGTCTATGAATTAACAGCTATGGGAGAAAATAAAATAAAAAATAAGAAAGATATTAGAATTTGATTAACATACCTTGTGGCTTGAAGTTAAAAAGAGGGGGAAGCGGCCGCCCATTAGGCAAACGGGTATTAGGATCTCGGAGCTCATCAAAAAATGGATGAACGCATGCATCTAACTGTACTCCGTTTTAAAGGAAAGCATTAAAATGAGATCAGAAAGATTGATATAATAGGGCCATTGAGAAAAACAAATGTGTGAAAGAATAGAATAGAAATCTTTTAATATTTGATCTTGTAGTTCCCAGAGGAGATAAAACTTACAGCTGAGCAGCGTAAATTTGGGGAGTATTGGAGGAGCCTAGAGACAAGGTCTACTGCCTCTGCTGGCATGCGCCTATGGAATATCTATTATGAATTTGACATAATCACATAGAAAAATTAAGTAAGGTAAAATTTTTAGAAGAAAAAAAAAAACAATAGAGAAGAAACAAAAAAAACGAAAAAAAAAAAGAAAAAAAAAAAAATAAATATATATATATATATATATAGGGGAAATGTATACTATGAGACCATCTATTTTTGGTCAAGAAGGAAACAATCATCTCTAGCCCTTCGATGTGAAATTTGGACATCAAGAACAATGCACAAAGTCCGAAAAAAATTCTATTGAACATTGTGCATAATCAAAGGGACACCCTTAGCCATTGATTCCACATTTGATGGCTAAGAATAAATATGACCTCCTTGTGTCAAAAGTAAATGGTCTCATCTTTCACTTCTCAATGACAGAGAGGACAATGGATAGAGATAGACTGTGCCAGAAAAGGGGGGTCCCAAGGGCGGTGGGGACTCTTAGAGAGAAAGAGCTAGATGTGATACCTTGTGCCAGGGATGTGCTTTAATTTGGGGGAATTTGAACTCTGTATAGTTCGGATTCATGCATTTGATTTCCTCTCTTGTTGGAGTGCCTAAAACCTGTAATGGTACAAATAGGCATGGATGATAAAAGGGATGAGGAAGCTAACGACATAGCAAGAATGCACATCACAATCATAACTACGATAACCGCATTCGACTAATCACAATATAGAAAACATCATATTACCTTTATAATCTCTACAAGTTGGTCTACACCACTTTCACCAGGAAAGAGAGGCTGTCAAAGTTCATCGTTAATAAATGCAACCATAAAATTTCGTCATATATGATTCTTAAAGCAGTGACATAAGCATAATGAAATCAATAGCAAAAATGCACCTGTCCAAGCAGGAGTTCAGCCAAAACACAACCAGTTGACCAGATGTCAATCGCTGAGGTGTACTCGGTGGCTCCAAATATCAGTTCCGGAGCTCTATAATATCTAGAACAAATATATGATATATTTGGCTCCCCTTTCACCTGCCAATCAGAATTTATAAATCATCAAAACCAGAAACTTGAGTTTTTGCAGTTACAAGGAAATTGATTCTGCAGCAAGCAAAACCCACCAAAACTTTTGCACTTCCAAAGTCACAGAGCTTGAGCTGGTGTGTATGAGGGTTGACCTGTAAACAGGAACGTCACTAAGTGAGACAGGGAAAATGTGATAAAGTGGAAAAGTAAAAATACCAACATTGCAAAAATAAACAAATAAATAAATAATAGAAATGAAAAACAACAAACTCCTAAAAATTGTACACATGTGGAATTCGAACAGTATTACTTAACAAGTAAATGTGCAAGTAAAGGATTTCTTTAAAAAAAAAAAAAACTAATGTGCATACAAATGATCAAGTAAAACGAATTTCTCTTGAGATTCTTCATTAGGTTCTTCAACATTTAGAATATCAAAATTCTCATGCAAGTATATCTACCACATAGAACAGAAAAGTGAAAAACACAAAATACAGCTAAATACTAATAAAGCCTGTGCACGTGTATACAAGTTTCTTACTGCCAGTATGGCAGTTCTCGAGTACAAGGACTCCCAAAAGCAAAAAGAAAAGCATAAAAGCCACACGGAATTCTAATCCTATAATTATTATTGGAATATAGTCTACAAGCATTTCTCATAAGGTAAGTAAAATGAGAATTACTAATGTTTTACAAATGGATGAAGCAGCCAGGCCCCTTCTTATAGCTCTCCAAAATCTAGAGATAGAGGCATATGCCGAATTTAGTATAGTGAGGATCACAACAAAATCCACATTAAACTCTTTTAATTGAATTCAAAACAACTCCTTTATAATAGGTAATTTCTATTTTTAGAAAAAAGGCACCATTTCATTTCATAAACTTCTACATATTTAAGTCTTCTAATTCCTAACGTAAGCTTGCACAACATACCAGGAGGTTTTGAGGCTTGATGTCTCTGTGACACACACCTATACTTCCATGAATATATGCCAGTGCCCTACAAATCTGCCACATGTCAAAAGAAAAATACTTCAGGCCACCATACCAAGACATGGTTGCTAACAAGGAAAGCAAGAACAATCAAATTTCAAGGCAGAATATTGTGCAGATACGGTCCAAATAAGAATAATCAAAAAGTTATTGGTGTAATCCACACGAATGTTACACAATCTTTCCACCAAATATAATTTCATCAAGATTTCATTGGTGCAATCCACAAGAATGATACACAATCTATCCACCGAATACAATTTCATCAAGATTTCTCAAAGAGGAAATGAGCAAAACAAACATGATGCAAACTTCTCTAACAAGTATATGCTTGAGTACTAACAAAAAAAATTATAGAACATATAAACAAATGTAAGACAATCAATACCATAAAACATCACACACAAGGATAGAAACACATACATATCTCACATTTTATACAGATGAGTATACACACTCCCAAAACAATGAGAAGTATACTCTGCATAAATTTTCAGCACATGTTAGACTTCCCACCGAGAGAAACCAAAGTAGCAAAAAGTTCATCTCAGTAAATGGCTCACATCTAGAATTCATTTAATGGGAAGGGTAAGAACAAACAAAGCAATTTGCTTTCAAGGAATCAAACTTCCAGAACCCCCAATTTATGCTTAATAAAGTGATACTTTAACAGTCATGATGGTACATCATGATTGTCATATCAGTGAATGAATAAGCCAGTAACTCCATTCAAATAGAAAGATTTATTGGTTTTCCCAACAAGCACAAATCCCCAGGAACAAAGTCATAGCAGAACTAGTATCAGATGATCCTACCTGATAAGTATACAACTTCACATAAATCATAGGCATCCGTTGGTTCACCCTACTATAGTGCTTAAGTACACGGTGAACTGTCTCAGGAACATATTCAAGAACCAAGTTGAGATAGAGCTCATCCTTCTCGGTTGTTGAAAAGAAACAGTGTTTCAGTGAAACAACATTAGGGTGATCCAGAAGGCGCATGGTTTGCAGTTCACGATTCTTGTACCTCTTATCCTGAAGGACTTTCTTGATTGCTACAGTTTCACCAGATTCCAGGCACTTAGCCTACGAAACAGCAATAAGCAGTGGGAAAATTAGCCAAAAGTCCACATCATAGCCTGTAAAACAACTATAAGGAAGTGGAGAAACCACCATTATTGTCAGTAAATCACACATGATTGATGGAAATACGGATGAAACCTAACCTGGAACACAATCCCGAAGGATCCATGTCCAACAACACGCTCTGCCATATAGCTTATAGTCTGAAAAAAAAAAAGATGAGAAGCAAGCATTAGAGGATCCATGCGAGCAAAAAATAACACAAGAAAAACCATCTCAATTTATTACTTTAAAACCAGCTATGTACTCAAGTGGTATGAGTTTTTCAACTGCTGCTCAAAGAAGAAATTGGTAGAAGTCATGTATTGCCAATTCCCTGAGAAATTGGAGGAAGCTAAACTTTTCAAGATTCTTAGAACTAAGAGGAACCTCAATGAAGACATACCTGCTTGGGCTGACCATTTCTACCACCAATAGTGGTAACAATGATGTGACCTGTCTCGGTTCCATTCCCATCTACCACTGTTGCTTCCACTTCCTAAATAAACCATATCCTATGATGCATTAGAATTAAACAAAATATGGACTTAAATTTAAAGCACAGTGAATAAAAGGCATCCACCTTGTCGTCCCTTATCTTCATATCATTCATCTCTTCTGGTAATTTATCAACACCCATGGTGCTTCCACTCAATTCTCTAAACCCCGTTGCAGGGACAACACTCACAGAGGCCATGATGCATCCAAAGGCTTTAGAAAATCACCTCCCACGAGAAATAAGACTGAAAACTCTACCTGAGTAATACAAGGAACATTAAAAACGGCCATACAGATTATTAGTACTATTATAACCAAGTCTTAAGTAAACATATAACTCCAAAAAGGATGGCTCTATCAATAACATCTAGCAAGCAGACCAGATTCTGCAGAAACTACTTTCTGTTTTTCTTTTCTCTTTTTGCCAAAAGATGAGAATACTGTCTATTTCTCCCTCACGTAAAACACTACCTAGGATTCATATTAGGATCCCAGATTTTGCGGATATAATCTCTTCCCATAGATTAAACTCAATAAAAAAAATTTCCTAATTGCACCCTCTACGCACAAGAAAAAATAACGTCTCAAGATCAAATAAAGACCATCCAAGTTTTAAGGGGTGCGATCTAACTGTTAGAAAACTCAAATTAAAGATTTTATCTTTTGAGAATAATCATCTAGTGATTCTTAGGTGGTTCCCAAATTTTCAAATTGAAAAAATCCTCCCAAGTAAGTCTTTGGACCGAGGGAGTAAATGTAAACTATGCTCCCACAGGAGTATGGTCCACATGGCCTTTTTCTTTCAACCAATAATTAAGGGCCTCAGTCCTATTTCCTTCCTATTCAGCTCAATTTAACATCTGAAACATTTCTTATCAAATCAATCACTCAGTTGGATGCTGGATTCAGAATAGAGAACCACAGTTAAAGCTCTGTGTAGATGAAACGTGAACAAATACAAATTCATGATTTTCCAAATAAAAATTTAAAATGCAAATAAACTGGTAAACAAATACAAAGCTCAAGAATGTTCAATTCAGGCAAGGACAACACAAATATCCATTGCAGTTCGTTACTTTTAAGATTCAAATGTTTAATAGTTAACACATATTTAAACATGGGAAACAGGATCGTCATTGCAAAAGGAAAACGTTTGCCAGGCAAGCTGGCACAAAAGCTAACAAAAATCACTCGTTATATCTGATCAATCAAATTTGCTTTATATCTATCTCTTCGTCTATGTGTGTCAATGTGTGTGTGTTTGCAAAAATAGTCAATAAAATTATTCTTGCATAGAAAATATAGAGAAAAAAATCTAATTCCTTAACAGCCCAGGATGAGGCGAAATTATGCATTCTCCTGATCTATAATGAATGAACATAGCACCATAGAACCAAAAAAGTACCATCTATTTTGAATGGAATCTCATAACAATGAAGTCACCTATATTGAAACAAGGAAAACTCATCAAGTTACCAAATATGGCTCATTGTAAAGGAATTTCAGAATCATGTGATCCCGAGATAAATAGAACCCCAACAACTGCACCACGTATTCTAGGCGGCAAGTTCCCTTATTAAGAATTTTCTTTTGCCATTTTTTTTTTGAGATCCTATAACCATTATATGGGCCTTTTCCATTTATTAAGAATTTTCTTTTGGCATTTTTTTTTTGAGATCCTATAACCATTATTTGGGCTTTTTCCATTTATAAAGAGAGTTTTCAAGCTCCCCATCAATTGCCACATAATTGTAAAGAAACTAGATAAATCAGAGATCAAAACAGATAAAACCCAAAGAAAATGAGGCAATAAAACCCAGTAGATTCCCCAAATAAGAAAAGGAGGAATCGCGCAACATTCTGATCCATGAAGACACAGTAAGAATGCTGATTGATGACAAATTCTGGAGAGAGAAATTACCAGCGAAAAGGGCCTTGATCACTCCTTGATCTTCTTCTTCCACTTACCTGAAAATGCAGATGAGAGAATGAAACCCTAACCCTAGAAAGCATGATCATCATCTCCCCCTCCCTCTTTCTTCGGCGTGGTCGCTCTTTAGGGGAAAAAAAGCTCTTTATCAGCGCCCTCGGTCAAAATCCTTAATTATTTGTTTTCAGAAAATTAGCAGGAGCCCCTCACTTTTGCTTCAATGCCGATAAGATCCCATATTTTTTAGATGTTTAGTGGACACGTTTTTTACGAGTGGGCATACTCATATCTAGATATGCGCCCATGGATTTTGATCCTAATTTTTTAGAATAAATAATCTTAATTTTTTAGAATAAATAATCTTTGTGAGTAATGATCCGCCGTCGCACATCTATGTATAGAACTTCAAAAGGTCATTATTAAATTTAGTATAAATCTCTAGAAAAGTTATCATACGAGTATGGGATTTGATTTTTTCTAAAGATCTATTCCAAATTTAATGGTGATTCTTTGAAGTCCTATACACAAAAATGATAGATTTTTTAGACGCATCTGTAATTCTACATTATAAAGTAAGATCTTTATATAATTTTTTTCCTTTACAAAATAAATTTTAACTAGTAATTTTGTTTTTCCGATAGGACTAATACTTTTTCATGGACGATCAATCTGTGATGCCTCAAAGGCACAATACAACCTTGCATCCCCTAACACACAAATCACCTTTCTTTTAGATTACCCTTGATTATTGGCTTGCCATAGATACCCCTAAGACTAGAGAATGGGGTTGGGGCATAGGTGGTTAGGGAGGCACATGCGACAATATAATGTCCTACCCTCCATTCCCATAGTTAACATATCAAAAAATAAAAAGTGCGGTCAAATTAGAGCCCACCTTTAAATAGCGTCGAGAAAATATAGTTTTAATACTATAAATCTTTGTGATAGCTTTAAAATATACTTTTATCTTTATTTATAAAGTTTAAATCTTTAAAAATAATGTAGATCGATAGATCTATGAAAATCTTGAAAATTGACGATTCAAAAATTTATTATAAAATATACTATTTTCAATACTTGAAATTTATTTTTTCCTCATTTTCTTCTTGATGTCAAGATGATCAATTTGAGGATTTTTAAGCATCAAAACAATCTCTTCTAGTGAAATTTTTGAGTTAAGCTCTAATTTGATTGTTTATAGCCTCAGCTCTATATAAACTTTTCTTAAAAATATATACCCCATGACCAGTAATATTCCTAAGATATATTGTGCTCGATAATCATTATATTTTCAAAGTTTGTCAGAAAATGGAAAAAATTCATGTGTTTTAGGATGGAGAAAATATGAATAGGTAACAGAAGTCTAGCAAGCATTGGTATCTAGATTGACCACTTAATAAGGGCAGATCAATTGAAACCAATATGATCCTTGAATAAGTTAGCCCAATTTTAAAATATACTAAATATAATAATTTAGAGATATTTTATATTAAAAAAATTTAAGAAACTTTGTTTAACCACTCTAACCAGATAAAATAATCACCAAATCTAATTTTTGTTTAAACCAAACTAACCAAGGCAACAATCAATTATCAGATTGGACAAATTGGAACCAGCCGATCTAGTCTATGGTCTTGATGAAACTTGTTCGACATTGGATGGATGATTTGTGGATTTAATGGCAATAAAACTTTCCAACCTAGTAAAAGCTCATCATACCTTCCATGTCCACAATTTGTTTTACTTAGAAACTGTAGTTTTTCTTTTGTGGGGTATATTGTTCAGCGGTGAAAATCAAACTTGCCATGGAACATTGTTACTACATTTGTTTAGGGGTGGCAATGGACCCTGACCCGATGTCCATACCCAACCTGGGTCCGGGTATGGATCCAAGAATTGGTCCCAATGGGTCGCGTTCAGGTCCAAATATTGGATCCGGACACCATTCAGGTCTGGGTCCGGGTCCAGGTCTAGCTCCATGTCGATATAAACCCAAAACAAATAGTGTTATCATATAAATAATATTTAATATATAAATATTTACTTAAGGTTTAAGAAATATAACTATATACTTTAGCTATAATATTTTATATTTAACATAACATTTAAATATATTAAATTTTATTTTTTTAAATCAGATCCAATCGGGTCCCGGTCCAGACAGGCCCGGACCCGACCAGTTACCACCATACGTGTGAGTCCGGACAAAGACCAAGTCCCATAGGTTCTTAGTACTCATAAATTGTTAACTAGGCGACGTACACTGAGGGCAGAAGGGTAAATTTCAGTGATTTGGGTTGGTAATGGATGTCGTTTGGGTTGATGGAAAAAGGTATGGGCAATGTGCCCCTTTACCTTTTTCGGGGACCCTCATCTTTTGACCGTTCAACGGTCTTTTTACATCAGTTTTAAAAATCATTATTTACAAAAAAAAATATTTGGGTGTGGGAATATTCCCCTACTCTTTGCCGCGCTCAAAGCGGACCTCAGCCCTTTTATTAAACCCAGTTTAATAAACAAGTTTTGTTTTGTTTTTGTTGGAGAGAGAAGTCTGCAACTTCCCCGCCGGCCGGCAGGCCGCCGGAGACAGCCTGGTGTGTCCACGTTCGCAAATTTACTATTATACCCTTTTTAAGTGGAAAAATATCAAATAAGGTTTCTCAATTATATTGGGACATTTTTTGTGGTTGGAAATTCCTTGCTTGACAAATACATGTACAAAGGAAACTACTAATAGCAATTGAATGATATATATCTAATTTATTTTTGTGTCGTGAAATGTTTTTGGATGTTTTAGCCTCTTATTTGAAGGGAGCTGATCCAATTTTATGAGTCATGGTTCTATTGAGATCATAGTTTGAAAAACCATGTCTGGATCGAGAATCACCAATCAGGGTTAGAATCACTAGAAGGGACATCTATGTCTCTTAGAATTTGTTGATATTAATGTTCTTTTTTTTTTTTTTTTTTTACAAATTTTCTACCAGTTTAGCCTATCAAGATTGTCAATTCGATTGATCCAATCGACAACATCGGCATGCAAATCATTGCTCAATTTCCCGGTTTTAAAACATTGTTTGAGATTCATACACTACTTGAGATTCATCTAACTAAATGGACACCAAAATTTTAAATTAAAGAAAAATATCCTAAGTATTTTGCCCGAGGGAGTAAATGTATAATATATGCTCCCACGAAATCATAGTATACACCCTCTTAGTTTAGTTTATAGAAGGGTGTAACATCCATGTGGGTGAGGTTATTTTTGGTATAAAAATGGGGGAAGGGTTCAACATTTTGACCCCCTCTAATTTGGAGGCCGTGATGCCCTTTCAACATGTGTTGGAAGACATTATCTTTACTTTATTCAAAAGTAATCTCTCTCTCTCTCTCTCTCCGATCATGCGTTGTGTGGTTTCACAGTACTGTTAGGCAATGGGATCTTATACTATAAGCTAGTTTAACCTATTGTAAAACACGATGTTTTTTAAATCTGTTTAGAAATCCGAGTTTTTCAAAAGATCTTTTTTTTTTCACATAACCGATGTAACTCCGTGTTTTACCTTTTTTCAAAAAAAAAATTTTAAAAAATTTGGAAAATCATCATGAATGGAAAATATTTTTATGCTTCCCCTAAAGCATAGAAGTTCTATCATCTTCCTACCATTCAGCCATCCAATTTTGATCAAGATAGCCACTCACCGTTAGATCTTAGATCCGACGTCTCAAAGTATTTTATTTTTAATTTTTTTATACAAATTGTATGAATATCAAAGTTGGTACATGTCATCTCCTCATTGGGGTACACCTATAAAAAATATTAAAAATAATTTTTTGATAAAATATAATGGCCAAAATACCTCTTGAAAATTTCAAAGGCATTTTGGCCATTTTATTTATTGAAAATATTTTTTTAATATTTTTCGCTAGTGGGAGCTTAATAGAGGAATGGATATCCAAATTTTGGTATCAAAATAGTTTATAGAAAACAATTTTAAAATAAAATAGTATAGAGATATGACATTGTGATTGTAGCAATCTTAGCCCTCCATTCAGAATGGAGGGTTGGATAAAGGGGGACGATAGAACTTCTATGCTGTAGGAGGAACATAAAAAGCTTGCCCATCACAAATATATCTTAATTTATCTTTAACTTTCATGAATCTCACTCGCACTCTTTTTTTTCAATTTTGAACATTTTTTTACAAAAATAGCCTTCACGGTAATCGTATTACCATGAAGCACAATTACGTGCTTAAAGTACTGTAAAAAATAAAAATGTTATACCACATTTTAAGTACTGTAAAAATTAACCCATGTTATACGGTATTTTAAATACCGTACAAAATAAGAGAAAATATTTAGAGAGAGAAATAAGAGATAAAAAAAATTAGAGAGAGAAATAAGAGAAAAAAAATTAGAGAAAAAAAAAGAGATAAAAAAAATTAGAGAGAGAAATAAGAGATAAAAAAATTAGAGAGAGAATAATAGATAAATATTAAAAAGATTTTGAGAGAGAAATAAGAGATAAACATAAAAAAATTTAAAGAGATGAAAGAGATAAATATGAATAGGAGAAAAGAGTTTACGACATTTTGAATGCCGTATAACATGGGTTGGTTTTTACAATAATTAAAATGTCATATAACATAGGTTAATTTTTACGATACTTAAAATACCGTATAACATGGATTAGTTTTTACGGTACTTAAAATGAGGTATAACATGGATTAGTTTTTACGGCTGCACGGTAATACGACTATCGTGAAGGTTATTTTGTTAAAAAAAAAAGCCCAAAATTGAAAAAAAATGGTGTGGGTGAGGTTTATAAAAATTAAGGGTTTTTTTTTCTAAATAGATAAAAATTAAGGTATATTTGTCATAATTTCCCAAAAAACTTCATCCCTGTAACTTTATTTATTCATTAACTTAATATTACTAAATTTTTATTTAAAGATAAGCAAAGTAATAGTAGGAATAAATTAAGAATCTTGACTTAAAGTAAAATTCCATAAAACGTTTCACCAATAATTTCCCTTAAAAAAAGATTACAAAAAAAATTACAAACAATATATTTCCAAAAAAACAGATAATAGAACAATCCTATATCTCAAAATGATAGGTAGAGTTAGAAGACTAACCCAACAAAGAATCTTTTTCTTTTTCTTTTTTTCTTTAAACCCAATACATCCTCATAAAGAGCATTTTGTGTGAGATTCGAATTTGCTTAAAGATTTTCTATACTAAAGATTTAAGCAGCTAGGATTCAACGTGAGATTTGAATTTTTTTAAACATTTTCTTGCTTTCTTTATATATATAGCAGTTTGAGTAATTGTATTTTTTTATTTTTTATTTCATTGGTGTATACAACATAGATATTTGAATGGACTGCTATTTTATGTATTTGGGTATGTATTTTGTTTTAGTTAATTTCAATCCTATACTGAAGGCCTTTTTTTGTGTTTTTATTTTTTTCAAATAATAATCCTATTTCTTGTTATCTACTAATGTAGGTCTTATATTAACTTTTATAGTACCACTCCATCAAAGACACTAACCATACTAAAACCACACTATCACAAATATCAACCATACATTATCCATAACAAAACCACACTATCAAAATCATCGTCCATTCCATGAAAAAAATCACCCATAAAAGCACAACAGCATCATCCATATAGTATCGAAGAGAAATATCCATACCATGAAAGACATCAACCATACTCAACAGTACCAACATACAAAATAAAGGTCACTAGATTTTCAGAAATCACTGGGTTTGAAACCAATGCCAATCCGGATAAGAAATCACTAAATTTTCAAACATTGACTTAAACAGAACAGAAAATACAATTAAAAGATCCATGCTTATCGGAATTCATAGACGGTGCCCAATTATATATTACCCACAAACAAAAACAAACCTAATCTCGAAATGCCTTGGTTATTAACTCCTGGTTTTGCGCCTCTTGTCTTGCCAAAGCGTCATGACCTACATTCTTTTCTCCATAGGAATAAATAAGGTCACTTTTTTTACTCTGTTAATGATTTGAACTTCATCCTTGACATAATAAAGACCAGACAGATACATATCACCTTTGCGGCATTTAAGGGCATTCATATAGTCTCTTTCTAAAATTGGCTTTTGATTGGATCTCATTGCCAATTTTGCTCCTTGAACCAGTGATTCAATTTTGCTTCGTTGGCTGTAATAATCTCAATTGGACCTAAATAACTCAACTAAGTTGAGTCATTATGATCACATAATATACCACCAAAACCTACTTATTGAGGATTCTGAATACAACTATCATCAAAATTAAGTTCACATATTCTTTTGATGATAGAAAGATCGATGAAGATGTCGCATACAAAATTAAAGCTGGATGGACGAAGTGGAGATATGCAATTGGAATTTTATGTGATCGCCGCATATACCAATGAAATCAAAGGGCATGTTCTATAGGATAGCGATGAGACCAGCTTTGCTTTTATGGGGCAGAATGTTGGCCAACAAAAACTAATATATCCATAGAATTAGTGTAGCGAAGATGATGATGTTGAAATGGATGAGTGACAAGACAAAAAGGGATAGAATTCGAAATGAACCTATTCGAGAGACTTTAAACGTGACCCTAATAGGAGATAAAAGGAGAGAGAGTAGACTTAAGTGGGTTGACTACGTGCGGCGCCGACCAAATACATCACCTATTAGGAGATGCGAGTTAATTCAAGTGGAATGACTGAAAATGGCATGGAGTAGGGCCAAAAGGACGTGGTTGGAAGTAGTCTGAAAAAATATGTAGACTTATGACCTCACTGAGCTCATAAATCCTCACTATGACTTTTAATAGAGCAAAATGGAGAACTAAAGATTCATGTAATCAACCCCAACTAATTAGAAAAAAAAACTAAAATAATAATAATGATATCCTTTTAAGGGTGGCACCTACCACTGCTTTATCCCTTTCAATCAAACCACCTAAATGAAGAGTCCTTTACATTTTTGGTTCACCTTAGTAGGTAAAGGACCTACATGCCTCTGTAAACCCTTTGATGTTGGTCTTGCTGGGTTTGATGTGAGAGGTCAAGAGCAAGTTGGCAGCATGGGTTGGGAACGGCCATGTTCATCTCTATTGTATGTCGCGTTTGAGTTTTTGTCTTCAAATGATACTTGACGTTGAATATCACGTGGCTCACCTGGTTCAAAATGGATAGAGCCATGTAAAACTTTGATATTATTTTTATTTTTCCTTTTACTTCTTCAAAATTTGAAAGTCTTAAAGTCCTTTAAGAAAACGTACCTTAAGTTAATGGAATTGACCCCGTATTTTTCTATAAGGAAATGTATGCAATAAGACCATCTAGTTTTAGAATAAGGAGATCATTATTGACTGTTTGATGTAAAATCGGCTGGTTGGGGATTTGTTATTGACTAGGCACAATGTCCATAATAAACATTTTCGAATGTTGTGATGCCCTTTAATATATTAAATATCACAGTTAATTCTAAGAATAATTGTTACCTCATTGTACTGAAAGTAATTAGTCGCATAATATATAAATAATTCCATTTCCAACTTTCTTCCTTTTTTTATTTAACATTAATGTGAAAATTTCATTGAAAAAGTATACAAAGAGAATTTATTTTTGATACAAAGAGGTCACAAATACTTTTGTTCTTTACATTTTAAATTTGGATGGTTGTAAGAGTATCATTGACTACTTCGTGACATACTCCAAGCCATCTAATTTTGTATCCAATAATTAGGAATAATTATGATCTCATTGTATAAAGGTAAATATTCTCATAATACAATCCCATTTTCATCTATCTTTTAATAGGATGTACAATTTATTATAAAACAGTTTAAAAAGTCAATAGAGCTACACAAATTCAGAACTTTTTGCAAAAATTTAAAACTTAATAACTATCAAAATTGCATTCTCTATAGGTCAATAGTCTCTCTCTCTACTGGGAATAGGTGCCAAGGTATCTAATGCTGACCTCGCCCTCCGCCATAATCCTTCATATGAATCCCTTAAATAGATTCATATTAGAACAATGATTTCATGCAAACCTTGTGTAGTAATATGATGCAACAACTTCAAAAAACCATCTTATGGCTATTTGTTTGTTCTAAATTTTAAAATATACACTCTTTTCATTCTAATGAACAATTACAAAACAATTGAAAACACAACATATAAAGTATTTTTTTAGCCCAATTAACACACGCCGTTCATTTTGGTTAGATGCTTAGATCTAGGCCTTAGAAGAATTTTTTCATTTCCAATTTTTTTGGATGACTTTATTATCATTAGATGAACAATGTTAAAAAGAAAAAAATAATTTTGAGTTTATAAAGGCTAAGATCTTGAAATTCACAAAATGAATGGTCTAGATTCGTTTTTAGAGTGGATTCATTTTGACCATATTTAAGGTTCAAATTGAACTTTTACTTTTGCGATGATTGATTATTGAGATAAAAAGAGAGTGTGTGTAAAATTTGGGGTCATACAAATACCACAAATATGGTTTTTTAGAAGTGTCGTTGCAGTATACTATGATACAACCGTTGCATTGGATCATTGCTCTTCATATTATGAGATAAAGACTTGGCAACAACGTGATTGACAAAGCAATTATGAGAAGGTTCAGAGTACGTTAAAAAGTTCTTCCCTTTTGGACCATCAAGATCCATCTTTAAAAAGAATGGATTGGTAGTGCGGATCATCCACCGCCAATCCCGGTTTAGATCGAATGGATCATCGATTCAAATCATTCTTGAATTGTCTAGATTGGTGATCTAAATAAAATAAAAATTATAATATAGGTTTATGGGGTAGATATTTAGGGGGACCACGGTAAATATTAGGTAAGTTTAGAAAAAAAAAGAAAAAAAAAGAAAAAAAAAAGGGGGTTTTAAGGGAACCAGGTCAGAACTCATATCATTCTAGAACTGGTTTAATTCCAACTAATTCTGCATATGGATCAGTGACCTGGATTGAAAATCATCAGGTTTTAAAAAAACTTCTCAAAGTACCTATAATTTTAGCTGGCATAGATTCCCTAACGAACTACCATTAAAATCCCCCCCCCAAGGCAATTCTTCCCTTCTTGATTTTCCTACTTCCACTTTTTTCTCGAGCTCTAATGGAAAACGAACTTTCTTATCAAACAGGACCTTATGAATACTGTGATCCCTATGACCATAGAAAATCACGTGTCATAGGTTTACTACCATATGCTCTACGGATGACCCGCGGTCGTAAGACGCATAGTTCACTCTCTCTCTCCACCATCGATCCATCAATCAAACATGAATCCTGTGACATGGTGAAAGTGGATTATGACAAAGTTGATTACAATCCATATTGACCATAGAACCAGTTGCACCGCTTCATAGTTTGTCCATCAGTTGGATCACAAAATAGGGTTATTTAGGACATAAAAACCGAACCAGTGACGTGGCGTGCAAAACCCACTCTCCCCCATCACCATAAAACCTATTGATCAGACGGTGAAGACCCCCAATATGTTGTACTTTCAGTCTTTCACCATGACCAGATGGATCATAATGTATGTTCCCATGGACCACAATATACGTTTCATGGGGGTACGGTCGATATATAAAGCAATATAAAGGGCATTTCAGAGGAATCTTTCTCTTTTAGCATTGTTTAGTACTGGAGCCCTTCTCCGTACATTTTCTTATGCAGACAGAAGCGAGGGGAGAGTGAAATAACATGGAGGTTACTGAAAAATGTAAGAGAAAGAGAGAGAAAATGCAGATAATTAAAAGTACAGAGGACTCATTGTTCGTTGTTTACTGCATTTACATAGCGTCGCCATTAATACACAGATCGAACTGCATTAAGGAGCAAGTCTCAGAAGCATGTGGACTCAGCTTCATGTCTGTTTCGATGAATTTAGAGGTTGGAGAAACCCTAATTTACTGAAAATGCGAAGTCTTGACCTAAAAAATTTGTCGCCTAGCAATGTAGAGTGCCATTGGAGCAATCACATGCCAGATTTTAGATGTAAATTCTTGTCACTCATGTTAATGGTTTATTGCTTTTATGGTTCAGTGTTTTGAAAGCTACATAATGCTCAACTAATACTTCCATGATATCTTTGTTCAAATTCGCTGTAACTTTGATTATGTGGTTTTTTAGTATAAATGACTGTGAAGCAATGTTCAATGTTGTCCAATATTGGCGGACTTGATGAGTTTGTGCGTTTAACTGATACAACTTTTGCAGTTTCTGGATCTCTGATGTAATTCTTTGCTTGTTTGCTGTTATTTGTTGGTGATCTTGCACTATTTTCTGATTTAATTGGTTTGTTTCTCTCATTTTTTGGGTTGATTTTTTTGTAAGACAATCTGCTTATCCTTTAGTAAAAAATAATAATTTAAATGTCAAGTAGTTGATTGGAGCCCTTGATTTATTCTTGAATATTTACATTAAGTGAGAAATGGTACTTTTGAAGTTCAATTTCCATCAAAGCTGCGATTTTTCTGTGAGTTCCAGGCCAATCTCTGGGAGAACTTTAGCTTGTTCTATATGTCATTGACATGGACTTTCATATAGCCCAGTCATGATCCAGAAACTGGACCCCTTATAAAAAAACATTGGCAAATGCAGTCATGCACTTACATTCAAATGCACACATATGTTATTACAAACTTGTTCTTAGCAAATGATGACAATTATCGCCGCCCAAAAATGACAAACCAAAAGGTAGGGTAATTGTTATGCGATTTGTTTGGTAGAAGTTAACAATCGTCATTACAAATAAAGCAATGTTCTGTGACTCGCCCGAGTCTAAATGGACATGGGTGAGTTCCTCGGCCTCTCGCCCTATGGGCATGGCCGAGCAGGGTGTACACCTATTAAAACTAATGTTTGCCCATTCATTTGGGGTTCGAATTCCTCTAATGCCTCTATTTCCTCTTAAATCCACTCTTTTTTTTAAAAAATTTATATGAATAAGTCAGTCTCTCATAAAAAAAAAATCGAAAGATGTGGGTCAATCCCAAGACCTCATGGGAGATGTCCATCACAACAAACCAAAGCGTTGTGTTATGCAACGTGTAAAAAGGGGGTAAGTCTTGTACTATATAGTAAAGTTTTTTGCTTTATTTTTTATCTTTTAAAATGGCCTGGACTCGGGTGAGTTATTTTGGACTCGCCCGAGTAAATCGTCTCGGCCAACGGGCAAGTCCTATGCCGACCCAAGTCCCATCACCTTGAAATAAAGTACTTTGGCAAATCTCGTGTGTGCGTTTGTGTGCATGCTTCTACATGTGCATGTGTGTGCACGTTTGCACGATCCTTCTCCATCCGAAATACTAGAAATTGTAGGGCTTGTGTACTCTGATTGTGTTTTCCATACAAACACTGTGTAAAAATGCATGCTAAACCATCTGTTGTTGACAACAGATTCTTGAGGACGCCTTTATCATACTGTTTGTATGGTGAATGCTATTCATGGTATGCTTTCTTGAAATAATAAGAATCAGAATATAACGCAGTGGATGTAATCATAAGGTTGAATCTGGAAGAGCTTCACTATAAACTAATATGCGAATGGGTATGACTTTTTTTTAGACAGAAAAAAGAAGAAGAAGAAGAAGAAGATGATGAAGATGGGAATGTCCACTACGAGGGGGATTGCACAGGAGTGAATATATGGTTGAGCATAAACCACTTTGAGCTTCATGTGCTAAGCTTATAATTTCTGTAAGGAGTTTTGAGTTATTTGATAGATAAATCCCTAGACGATTGGGTATAGATAACAACACTGGAAACATTAAATCACATTGGGTTGAACATCTTCAGTGTACTTGCTTTCACATTGGGTTTAACATCTTCAATGTACTTGTTTGGGTCACTCATGTTGGATTTGGTGCTATCCAAAATCACCAACATATGGAAATCCCATATTATGTGGGATTGATATATTCTCATATTATGTGGGGTTGAAATATTTCTATATTATGTGGGATTGAGATTGATATTTGATAAGTTTTCTAAAGGAAATATAAATCCAAAGAGGATTAGGACTCTTGGATATATCTATTAGTCTTTTGAGATATATGTAACATCAATAAGAAGTTTCCTACTTAGTATGGACTCCTAATCTTATATGTATGGGGATGAAAGTGTGTAGAATTTGGTGTGCCCAATTTTGGTCACCAAATGGGAATTGTGGTTTTCTAGAGAGAGAGGGAGGCAAAGCCTCTTGTGCATAAGATGCAATTTCTTCTTAGAGAAGAGAGCTTCCTATGAAGAGAAACATTGATGGTGCCTCCTGCAGAGTGAGATGTTGGTTTCTTGTAGAGAAGCGGTTCCCATGGAGATTTTGGGTTGTTTCCCCTTTTAGTGAGATGAAGTCTCGTTTGCTCTCAAAATTGTTCTCTTCCTAGACAGTGGTCTAGTTATGGAATAGAGATGAGAGATCGGCATGGTGCCGTTTGGGAAAGTAGATTTAAGAGGGTTTGCTCTACTGTATTTTTGTCGAGGTTTGTTCTAAAATCTTTGATTTAACTTTCATTGGTATAGTGGATTTCTATTTTCCGTGCCTGTGGATGTAGCCCTTTTGGGGTGAACAACGTAAATCTTTGTATTCTTGTTGTATGTGTTTCATGCTTTATTTCTCATACTTTATTTGTCAAATATTAACCCATCGGGTTTAGCGCTTCCGCGCACAACGAGTGGTATCAGACCACAATAACTCATACCTCCAAAATTTTCTTATGAGAATATTTGTGTTAGTGACCATATATTCTTCTCATTAATAATGATTCAGTTACACCTTTATCACAAAACAAGAATACAGAAAGGAAACTCCTACTCTTAAGATACTTGGGTGCATATCGCTATTGATATAATATCTTTTTTTTTGAGAAAAAACATCTTCAATTCCTCTCATCAGGGGTAGGTAACGGGTCGGGTCGACCCCACAATCTGACAGGTTGACCCAAAGAGAATGGTTATGTAGAGGGATTCGAACCCACAACCTAGTGAACAATAGATATAATATATTTTCATGTTTATATGGCATTCAGCTTCTTGCAATTGAGCTCCTTATTTTAATGGTGTCAAATAAATGTGAAACAACAATTTTAGAAAGAATATAATGATCATGTTCTCATATCATAAATCATCATCATCCGAGCCTTATTCCAATTATTTGGAGTCGGCTCTATGAATATTGCCGCCATTCTGCTCTAACAAGGGCTATAACCTCAGTCAGACTATAATGCGCTATATTTTTCTTACTACTTCCATCTATGTTCTTTAGGGCCTTCCTTTTACCTTTTTAGAGCCTTCCACTTGAACCAAATCTCCCCTCTTAACTGGTGTTATTCATGCTGCACATGACTGAACCACCTAAGTCTACTTTCCCTCATTTTATCGCCTAAGTTCCTTCGGATGTATTTGTTCCGAATTCTATCCATCCTTATCTTGCCACTTATCCGTCTCAACATCTTCATCTCAGCTATACTCATTCTATGGACATATGGTTTTTTGAGTGCCCAACATTCCGTCCCATAAACTTGTTCTTGCCTATTTGTTTTTCCATAATCTTGTGGCATACTTAAATTAGCACGCTACTTTATATCTTTATTGTAATGGTATTCACCTTGTCTTTGACTTAGTCTTTAGATTTGATTCTACCCAAATGCAAATTGCTATTTAACTGTTGGACAGGTTGATTGTATTCCCTCTATTGAGAATGGGGAATTATTGCTTAGAAATGCTTCAGTCTTTGACCGAGGTAAGCATCTTGGTGGTGATTGGTTTTGCATTTGAGTTCGCAAGAATGGAAAAGATGCCACAAGATATTTGAGAATGAAGAAGTGGACTGGAGGTACTTTAATTGTCATCTTGGCTTTAGTCTTGGTACTGAGATATAGTCTTATGGAATCACCTCCTCAAAATGATTCACCATCCACTTTCTTTAAGAACCTCTCCAAGGAGAGTCCTCCGATGAAAGCACATAACATTGACAATCGTTCTAAACCTATGGAAAGAGTCAGTCATGCGAAGAAACCTCATATTGTCAATCTTGAAGGGATTGATTACTTATTCTCCTCAGACAATATCTCTGAAAAGGAGTCCATGGTAAAAATCACATGGGCCCAAATGCGTTACTTGATTTCCAGATCGGACGCTTTACCTGGAACTGCTGAAGGGGTCAAAGAAGCTGCCATTGCATGGAAGGATCTGGTTGCCACCATTGAAGAGGACAAGCTTTCAAAGATAGTAAATGGGAGCAAAGTTAGGAACGGTTCATATGATTCAAGTTGCCCTTTTTCTATAGCTGCAACAGATGTGTCCGAATCACAAACTAGAACTCTTTTCCAGATTCCTTGTGGGCTTGTTCAGGATTCTTCAATCACAGTGGTTGGTATTCCAATTGGACTTCTTAACTTTAAGATTCAACTTATTGGCCTAAAAGCTTCAGATGGGCCAGATCCACCTGTTATATTAGATTACAATGTACATTTACAAGGGGATAACTTGACAGAGGAACCAGTCATTATTCAGAATACATGGAGTTCAATACTCAAGTTGGGTAAAGAGGAAAGATGTCCTGCTCCTGCTTCCTCAAATAACGTGAAAGGTATTTTTCTTAAGAATAATATTTATACTGTGATGTTGTTTTTCTGAAAATCAGAAAACTTATTTGTGCAAATGGTGCCTTGTATCTATTTTGTTTTATCTTTCAGGCATCCCTCTTATTTCATCTAGTTGTTGAAAGTGTGCAGTTTTTGTTAGCCTTGACCTGAAATTTAGTTGTAGGTAGTAGGAGAAGGGGGTTAAACTTAAAATACAATGCACTCAAGTTTGAACTACAGATACACATTATGTTCCACAGGTCAACAAATTGAAATAATATACTGATGGAAAAATCTAGTTTCTTGTCGAAATCCACAGAGAGAAACCATATAAGATCAATAGCTTTATCCTCTGAAATTTGATAATCCAGAAATTTGCCCGAGGTTGATGAGCCGTACCCTACACTTCGTTCTTGAGTTGCATGGATCAAAATACTGTTAATTTCAAGAATATCCTGTAAATGCAGCTTTTTTAATCGTTGTTTAGATATTGCTTGGTGCTCAATTGTGCTCCATGGATATGCTTGGCTCAGTGGATGATGGCTTTATTTGTCGTATTTAACCCAGATTTTCCAGTCGAGGATATTGTAAGTGTGTGAGTTTATGCTGAACATTCTTTTTAAAGAATGTTTCATATCAAAAGAGGGCATTTGGGATTCCATCATTTCTTATTTTTATGTGTAAATAGTTCATTATATTGATGTAGTCTACATACGATTCTGTAACAGCTGGCTGAAGGCTCATGTGGTATATTACACCACCCTTGTTGGGCATACTTGGTGTTGCTTTTTTTAGTTAACTTGAAATATTATGGCTGTCAGGCACAAGTTCTATTGAAGGTTAAAAAGTAATCCAATTGAAATACTGGATCGACCACTACTATTGACGTTGTTAAAAATGTGGTACTGGTAATACACCAATACCAGAGGACTTGGCATTTCCAAAGTCATATGGAAAAGAAATAGACTACTATTAAATGTAGAAAATCACTTCCACATTTCCTTTTGCAGAGGAGATGGTGGACATGAGATGACACGGTGGTGGGGAGTTTGGGCAATTGGTAAGGTTAGAACTGGTGTCTGTTACACTCATCTTTCCTCAAAATTTTAGAGCAGATGATGCAAAGTAGAAAGTTAACAAATATGAAATGAAAGTTGTGAAGCCAAGAACTTCATACTATCTCATCAAACACTAAGATATACATCATTTTGTAAACTAGCTACTATCTCACTCATTGTTTTTGTTGCACTTATATGTTTCACGCTTGGGAACATCTCCTTGAGGTCTCTGATTTCGCCCTTGTTATGCTTCAGACAAGGTCGACGGACTTGGTCCTTGTAATGAGCAAGTTGGCAGAATTTCTACGCAAGAGAAATCTAGTGGGAAACAGCCTCACATTCCAAAGTGGTTCAATGCTTCAAGGGGAAGCACAGATAGAAAATTTTCCTTTCCATTTGTTGAAGGACATCCGTTTACTGCAACTCTGTGGGTTGGTATGGAGGGGTTCCACATGACTGTTGATGGGAAGCATGTCACATCTTTTCCTTACAGGGAGGTAATCAATTATATAACTTATATTAAGAAGAGCCTTGATTTTCATGGATGGGCTAGAAAGATAGTGGAAAGATATTGCTAACAAATGACATTGATAACTTCAATCTTTTCTTTCATGTCAACACAGAGCCTGGAACCATGGTTAGTTAGTGGAGTGAGATTAGCCGGTGATTTGCGACTCCTATCTGCTCTTGCCAATGGTCTCCCAATATCTGAAGATATAGCTCTTGTTCCTGACTTGGAGAAGCTCAAAGCTCCTCCTCTCTCCAAGAAAAGACTTGTGATGCTGGCTGGAGTTTTCTCAACGGGGAATAATTTTGAGCGTCGAATGGCAATAAGGAGGTCCTGGATGCTGTATGATGCTATTCGTTCTGGAAATGTAGCTGTACGTTTCTTTGTTGGTCTGGTGAGTGATCTTGTTGAACTTGTGTTGCTGTGCTTACAACATTGTCTGAAGAAAATTGGAAGTATTGTTTACTGATTGAATGCATGCATGTGATACCTTATTTTGATTTCACTAGTACTTTTTTAAATTTTTACTTCCATGTTAAGTTTTGCGATTCTCGAGCGATTATATGAAGACAGTTTGTAACTTCGTTAGCAGGGGTGCTCAATATGGGCATTGAAGTATGAGAAAAAGTGTCACATCCTGAGGACCATTGAAAATCATACTCCTTAGGTTCTTACCAGTTATTGACATGGACACTAATTGAGAGGGACTGGGACCCACCGAGACCCATTTGTAGGTCACATCTCTCTCCAGCACCTTCCATCGGACTTTGGAAACATTCTTTTCCTGTTTTTAGCTAGAAATAATTTATCATTTAATGTAAATATTAGGAAGAGTTGGCTCAACCCCAACAATTCATAGAATGTGCTTGCAACTTATATCCAAGAGCATGCATAATACGTTTCTTGGGAGTATAAAGACATTTTTAATGCACCCCTGAAAGCTTCCTGTCATTATGGTAGTTTAAAGGTTAACCAATATGGATTCCTGACCTAGTTTTTCCTTCATTCTGCAGCACAAGAACAAGCAAGTCAATATTGAACTCTGGGAAGAGGCCCAAACATATGGTGATATCCAGCTCATGCCTTTTGTTGATTATTACAGCCTCATCACATTAAAAACAATTGCTTTATGCATTTTTGGGGTATGTGAATCATTTTCTACTAAAGATCCAAAATTTGGTTACATATTTTCTAGAGAATCTTGTTTTTCTGGAAAGAAAAATAAAAGATGATTTCTCAAAATGCAATTTTAGCTTGTGGTACTTGGAAGAAATGATATATTTCGAGTAATATTTACAGTGATAAACAATTTTAAAGATATACGAAGGAGAAATTTTCTTATCTTTTAAAATGAAGAAAACTTTTGTCAAATGCACAATTACTAATATAAATATTCTTTTTGCGTCATAATCGACTCTCTAGTAGCCTGAAGTTTGATTGGCTTCCAAATTTGCCCACTTTACATGATAAGCACCCGATTTTAGCCAATCAAATCAAGCAGATCATGTAACTTATTAGATTTATATACATATGCTGACGCACTAGCCAGACCAAGAGCCAATCTCAACACCTCATAGGGGACTGCAAGCGTTTCTTTAAGCTTGCCTCCCACTCTCTCTTTTGTTGCCATTGCTGTAAAGCATTTTACCCTGTGGGGCTGTTGTACAGGGCACCCGTTCCCTGGGCCTGCCTATTTTTGTCGCTACTCTTTACTCATACTTTAACACATATTAATACAAAGTCAACTTACTCAAAAAAAAAAAAACTATATACACATGCATATGTCAATCATGCCTATAAGTATTCATTTTTTTGTGTATTTGCATGTAATGCATAACGACCAGTTAATATTGAAGTTAGTTACCGAGCCGCACAAAAGACTCCAGACCAAATAGAAAGAAGAAGATGATGTGTGTGTGTGTGTAAGATCGATAATTTACTTATAGTTCTGATTCTAGAGTTCATTCCTGTGATTTTTGCAGACAAAAATACTCCAGGCAAAATATATTATGAAAACCGATGATGATGCTTTCGTAAGGATCGATGAAGTTCTCCATAGTCTCAGGGAAAAGAAGGTCACACAAGGCCTTTTGTATGGGCTGATATCCATGGACTCTGAGCCTCACAGGAATAAAGACAGCAAATGGTACATCAGTACTGAGGTAAAAGGGAAAATTCTTGTACTTGGTTGTTCAAAATTTGCAGTCTAAATGGCTTTAGAGTCCTTTGGTTGTGACATGGATTTTGATGAAAAGTATTTGATTTAATTTATTTGTCATTATAAGATATTTGAGATGTGAATGAATTTGCAGGAATGGCCCCATGCTAAGTACCCGCCATGGGCTCATGGTCCCGGTTATATTATCTCCCGGGACATTGCGAAATTCATTGTCCAACGTCACCAATCAAGAAATCTAAATGTATGATTTCTTTCTGCAGTTTTTTTATTGTTCCTTTTATATATTCTGTTTTTAGTAAGATTTTCTCTTAATTATTATTTCATATAGATAAATGGAAATAGTTCAGTGAGTGTTATCTGACAAGAATCTCAGTTTCCAGAGAGGGAGACCCATTACTAGGATTGCATTGTGAGAAAGTTGAGAGAGAGAGAGAGAGAGCTACCCATTACTAGGATTACATTGTGAGAACCTTTTGGTCTACTTCAATTTTTTGTATTTTGCTATGAAAAGCTGTATCCTTCTTATCAATTGTTTCTTTGTTATAATATTATTGTTGTTGTTGTTTTCTGTTGTTTTTTTTGGGGGGGGGGTGGTTGAGTGTCTTGGACAGTTTACATTTCTTCTACTTATCGCATTAATAAATGGGCATCTTCTTCTTTTCTAGTATTTGTCTTGCCCAACGTTATACAAGATGGTTTCACTAATGGAAGCCAAGTGTTTGTGCAGCTCTTCAAACTAGAAGATGTTGCTATGGGCATATGGATAGAGGAATTCAAGAAAAGTGGGCAAGAGGTAAATTATATCAACAATTTGCAGTTTCGTAATGCTGGTTGTGAGAGCGATTACATCCTCGCTCATTATCAGGGACCAAGATTAATGCTTTGCCTGTGGCAGAAGCTCCAGCAGGAACACCAGCCTGTATGTTGTGAATAGTGATTCCATTTTTGTGATTTTGTAGCGAACTCTAAAAGTTTTGAAACTCTTGGAAATGTAATTCTATTTTTTCCAACATGCTATTCTGAATTTGAGAGAGAGAGTCATTTCCGGAAATTCAGAGACTTGGTAGTGCGTGAACAACTTTTGGTGGTTTCTCTCATGGAGATATCATGTGGCAGTTATTTAAAGATGTGTCATATAAAACCATTGCATCTTGTTCATTTACTTAGACACATTAATGTGCAGGCATGAACTCCATTTTAGGAGAGAGAATACATTAGCAGCTAGTTATGTTCTATTAGACAATTTATCCTTCTATTAGTCGCATTCTTTTCTTAAAATCCATGTGACCCCAATGTCATTTGACAATTTATGGCATGAGGCCTAGTGGGTGGTCATTAGGCCTCATGTTGCTTTGTTTTTCAGAGCCAACATATTCCAAAGGATGAGGGGCAAAGGGAGTAACACGATGGTAGGCTCCTTTATTGGTATTTTGTGGGCTTTGTGCTCCTTTATTGCTCATTTTCAGGCCCAACTACCATAACTTCAGGCAGATAATAAGATATGGGTATGGGTATGAGTTTCTACCCTGTTTACAACAAGGAAAACCAGTATTTGGGGTTGTTTCATGGTGGCCGGAGTTAACCATGGGAGATAATCACCCTGGGTCCTGAAGTTGTCTAGGAAATAGTATGTTCATCCTCTCAAATTCTGTGAGGGGGAGATGCCCTCCGGAAACGAGTATTGAAAGCCGCAAGACGGTCTGCAACCTTTCCCACATAAAGGTTGCGATGGTGAAGGGCTTTATGACACTCCTGCGAGACATTCCTGGGCCTGATAATTGTCGGAGTTACAGTACTTGAAATCTGAGTATCACAGTGGAGTCTGGGATGACATAATCATGCCATGGTGAGGATGATGCATCTGGTCTTTCGTTCACTCGAGAGCAGGGCAGGGCAGGGCGGGTGTGGTGCTTATTTCATTCATGAACCAAAATGTTGTTGCACCTGATGTTGGTGTGGGGAACTGGCGCCTCCAGCAGTTCATGGAACCGTACTGGTTCCAGTAAAAAATTATGGTATCGAGACCCAAGAACTTGGAGGTTGCCGTTGTCATTTCCTAGACACGACAAACCATGAGAGAGAGAGAGAGAGAGAGAGAGATTGTAACAAAAAAATTCGATACCGGGCCCTTGGAAAGAAACAAGAAGCCTTTTTATGGATTTTGCCAATGGGTAGGTATCTTCAACGCGGTAATCCATCTCTCTTGAGTTCTGTGGAACCCTAGAGTGATACGAAACCCACCCGATAGACCGTGATATGCTTTGGAATCAAATTAAATTAAGCGAGTAAAATAAGCCAAAATAAATGAAATAGACTAAGATTTGAAAAAAAATCCAAGTGTTCGAAAAAACAAATGAAAATAAGAAAATTGAATAAAATAAGAAAGAAAGAGAAGGCATACGTGTTCAAGTTCTTGATATGAAATTTGAAGCAATACGAGGTCGAATCAAACTGAATAGGATGACATGGGATGTTTTAAAAAAAAATTGAATCAGGAGCTATTCGAAATGCATAAGAATGGATCGTAAGAGAAGGGCATAGGACAGAATGTGAGACACTTTACCCGAAAGAGCTGCAATATCATAGTGGAGTTGGACCACAAAAGCTTTGACTACAATTGGTCCTCCCTGGGTCTACGCCTTAGATGTGCGAGCACTTGAGATCTCTCTTGCTACCTAAAGCTGGCAAAATATTTTGGAGCCAGAACGGCATCATTGTTACGGCTGGAATGACAGGTAGGGGTGGGAATTCGACCCGGACCCAACCCAACTACGTCCAAGTTAGACCCAGACCCACATCCTAATTGGGTCCCGATCGGGTATGGCTCTATAAAGAAAAAATATGTAATTTTATTTTTACATATTTAGTATTATTTATATGTAATTTATAGTAACATATTTCGTTCGGCTTGGCCTCAATCCAGATCCTAATTGACCAAATAAGATCCATGCTAGACCTGGACTTGGACCTGGTCAGGTCAAAGTCAAATGGATCCCAACCCAACCCGAACCTGGTCGGGTCAAGCACTGCTCATTTTTATATATACATATGTCTCTCTCATGCACATTTATGCCTCTTAACTCTCAACAACGACAAAAAATAGTCGAAGGGAAGCTCGTTAAGAATCCCTTTAACCTTCTGGCTACACGATATTATATCATTATATTAAAAATTGTGCCATATAGTATATAAAAAAATATAATAAAATAATAGTAAATTATATACTATATATTACTGAGAGAGAGAGAGAGGGAGAGGAGGATGTCTATGAGCGAAAACTTTAGGTCGGTAAAAAATCGAAAAACATATAAATGGTTCTCAAAATCTGAAAATTATTAGTTTTGGTTTTTGAAAAATCGAAAAATAAGCAGTTTTGTTTTGTTTTTAAAATGATATGAAGTTCAAAAAATGGATATATATGTAATAACGGAAACTAAAGGTATTTTTATAATAACGACAAATATGATGAAGATACACTTAATTTTCCCTAAAATAAATAGCACATTTAAAATATTCAGGTCACTGTAGATTTGAAGACCTAATATAATATCGGGTCCCTACTTCTAGACTCGAACCCAACCCATTTGGTCTAAAAATATGACCCAGACCCGGACCCAAGTGAGGCAAGCCCCCATGGGATTGCCGGGTCGACCTGACCCGTCACATACGCCTAATGAGAGGAACCGAGGATATTTTGAGAACAAATCCTTAGAATTGGAAGATTCGACTCGATAACCATAACATGTGCTGCCGAGTGGGTATGAATAAGAGTCACGGGGAGTAGACATTAGCCAACAAGTTTGGGGACGCAGGTGGAATAGTAGATGTCAGTTACCACGGCAAGGAGCATTGGTGCCAGGTTTGAATTCATGATAAGGAAAAGTGTTTGGTGGGTCGGCCGACTCACTCTATTCTCATTCTTGTGCAGTTTCCCTACAAAATATATCTCAAAGATGTATTTACAATCCAAAATGTTAAGAATTCAATATGACAACGATTTAAATTTGGAAATTTTCTTTTTCAAAAAATATGAAAGCTACTTTTTGAATTCCTTTCTTCACCATCCATTCTAACTTGTAATAGATGCAACATTTCTTTGTCATCACCCACCAAAATGGTGTCCTTCATGATAACAAGGCCTCAGTCTGGCCCAAGCCCCAAAAAACAGGGGCAGGCCCCTATACAAATATGAAAAAGTTATTCAATAGATGTAATATCGACTTAAAAATTTATGGCCAGCAGGCTAGGTCGGTTTGCAGGCCATCCTGGCCCAAGCTCGGCCTGGAAATATTTTGAGCCTACCAGGCCAGCCTGGGCCCAACATACAAGCCTTAGAATGTGACCCGGGTGCAGTCCTATATATAAAAAAAAGGAGATTCTTTGAATACCATTAGTTGGTGTAGAGATGACACAAGGGTACCCTGAAATTTTGGAATTTTCTATAAGAACGAAATATGAAATCAGGGCCCACGTACAGGTAGGGAAGTTAGTTTTATTCATATCTATAGAGAGCAATGAGGAGAGAGTGTCTTTCGAGGGCCCGCAATGGGTTAGGCCCAAAGTGTCTTTAGAGGGCCCGCAATGGGTTAGGCCCAGTTTGGGCTGGGTTGACCTGGGCTGGGTTGACCTGGGCTTGGTCCGGGTCTTTAGAGGATCAGTCTGGACCAGGCTAAATGGGCCTTAGTCTAGGCCCAGCCTTAGTGGTTGGCTAGGAGGGCCAGCCCTATGGCCAAAGTGGCTACCAAAAGCTAGGACCTCTGGCTAAATTTTGTAGCCTCCACCTAGTTTTTTAAGACAAGCATGAAGATGGTTTTGCAAGGTAAATTATGTAAGTTATATTCTCTAAACCTGATGGTGCAAAATATTGTATTGTTGAAATCTTAAAAATTCGAAGCAGAGCAGTCCCCCAAAACAAAAATTCACTATTTCAGTTCAACTATAAAACAAATCTCAAAGAAACTAATATGACAAAAAAAAGGGAAAGGCCTGTTTTATGACGACGGTGCTTCCTTTTCTTGTTAATACGGTTGGTTGCCAGAGAAGAAGAAATCAGAATGCCAACCCACCCATTAATAATCCCAAAAAGAATAACACGGGCCATGAGTAAAAAAGGAAAACAGAAATAAATAAATAAATATATCAGAGCTCTCCCTCAATGTTACACCAACGGCGACCCACCTCAACCCCTGGGCAGACCTACAACCTCAAGCTCACAACCACACGCACCACCCAACCAACCGACAAGCTCAAACCTACCTTCCCTACCAGGAAAAAAGCGAAAAACGTTCCAGTCCTCTTTGCCATTGCTACATCAACAAGAACCTAGCTCAACATGGGTCAAAAGTCACAACCCACAAGCATCTCTGCAAAACCTAGAGAGGCCAACCTATGCTTGAATGCACCTTCAACCGATTCCACATTTAATTACATTCTTGAACCCACTTTCACGAATAGTCATACAAACCCACGCTCTTATCATCTGAAACACTCGCAAGCCTCCCTGCTCTCACACCTGTCCCACCTGGAGGCCTAAACGCAACCCCCCAAACCTGATCTCCATGGCTCGACATGGTCTGAACTGCCGCCCTCATTGACAAATCCCAAAGCCTCACCGTTCGATCACTTGAACCTGAGGCGACAGCCACCCCATCAGGGCTTGCATCAACACTAAGAACCCAACTGGCATGGCCTGACATGGAGGCCACAAGGGTCTTCCCATCTGAATCATACATGTGAATATGGCCATCATCAGAGGCAGAGAAGAGAATACGAGGATCAGCTGGTGAGAACACTAAGGAGCGAATGGGCATGAAGTGGCCCTCAAGGTGGTGGAGGAACTTTCTAGAATTTGCATCGAAGATGGAGATGGCTCCATCCATTGTGCCGCATGCGAGGCGCTTGCCATCAGGGCTGAAGGCGATGGAGAGGATGAATTTGGCAGCAGCCTTGTCAGCTGGGGAGGTTGCAGGCTTGGGAGTCTCAGGACGGGGGACAGGGAGGGTGGCCTCAAGTTTCCATGTGGCAGTGTCCCATAATTTGATGGAGGCACTGCCTCCACCAGCAACAGCTAGGGTTTCACCCTGGAGAGAGAGAGAGAGAGAGAGAGACGATTAGCCTTTTCGAGCAGGAAAATAGGATGAAACAGTGAGCAGCCTGAGTTCAGTAAAATTTGGTGCATGAGAGAGAAAGATGCAGAAAGAGATCCATAAATTGGTATGAGAATGATGATTGACATTACAACCAAGAAAATGGGACCTAACCATCAGCAAACTAGGTTTCTTCAAAGGAATTGTATACAATGCGACCATTTACCTTTAATACATGGTGGTCACAATTACTTACAACTATCCGATGTGAAATTTGATAGCTTGGATATGAATCAAAGTTCGAAAAAATTTCTTTTGAAGTTTGAGCTTGGTCAATGGAATAATTGCAGCTACCTAATTTCACATCCAATGGTCAAGATTAATATGATGACCTGGTACCAAACATAAATGGTCGCATTCTATATTTTCCCTTCTTCAAAAGCAATCACCCGAGTAGGTAAGAGATCAGCAGACATTTGTATATTCATGTGGGTGACACTGTGTGTGTGTGTGTTTGTGAGAGAGAGAGAGATCCATTATCCTAGGAGAATTGTGGTTGGCAGGTTAAATAAGACCTCAATACATGATGAATTTGTTTTTGTGTATATAGGGACTAAGGAATAGATCAAACAACATTTGTCAGAACTTTAAGAAACAGCTGTGGAATCATATATAAGTGAGCTCGCCCATTCATAACAAATAACAAATCGAACTATAAGACCATTTCTTTTGGTACAAGGTCATAATCATTCTAAACCATCAGATATCATATTCTAAAATTTTGTAATGATCGATAAATTTTCTTTTGAAGTTTGAGCTTGGTCAGTGGTGCATCCCCAACTGTCTGATTTTAAATCTAATGGCCACAGGTAATTGTGACCTCCTTGAAAGATAAATGGTCATATTATATACTTGTCCCTAATTAACGGCATTCACATCCCTTGCAATGAATTAAACTATAGAAGCTAGGACAAAAGCAAAGGTGCATCACTTTAAAGAGAACCTCACCAAAAGGAAGGATTCCCCTTTGCATTCAATGGGCATCATAAGTTCATTCCTAAATGAATCAGAACAGAGCAACTCGGGAAAGGTAGCACATTGAAAATAGCAACATAAATCAAACTGATCAGAGGAGGCACTGAAGGAGAAACCAGACTAATACCAAACTATTCCAAGAATCCAATTACCATTCATCACTAGGAACATGATACCACTTTTGAACTCCACCCCTATACCACTGATGCTCTTCCAGACTCCAAATACCTTGGTATTCATATACAAATAAAAAAAGAGACGCATTAGTATTCTTTCTTTTAAAGTTAGTTCCCTTGCCAGACCAGGCAAAGTCATATTTGCCACTTATCAAACTCTTTCAGATTTAACCACCCCTAAAATTTGACCACCATTGGCCCATCAAAGCTGAGTTCATGAACTTTTATTTTCCAATCCCCACAAAGCCCATCTTGATACGGAAATACATATCAGCCACCTAACAGTAAGAAATTTATGTCCCTTGATGCTCCAAAACTTAGGATGTCTCTTTGGGTGCATCCAATTTCATCACCACAATGGCCAGCATTTGGCACAAAGGCATAAAGTACATAGTGACCCATGAACAAATTGAGGTTATGACACATCAATCAACTACCATTAATGAGATGGCACTAAGTGCTTCAAGCTAGAAATTCATGGAAATAAAAGAAAAAACAGTTACTAGGGATGAGAGAGGAGAGCTAATTGCTCATCTAACTTTTTCCTCAAGTGTTGTGAGACGATGTACCACACCAGTGCCATCTACAATGATCTCGTAGCTCTATAATGTATAGAGTTTCTGATAGCGAAACCCTGCTGTCACAATTCGCAGTCAAGATCAAATGGTCCAAAGACCTGAAAACTTTATTACCCAGCAGTCAAGGAAGCACCAAACACTTCTGCTCATTATCATGGAAGTTTGCTTACTCACTGGCAGTCTCCCATGAGGTATCCTCATTATTTCTTGACCAAAAAAAGTAAAGAGGGAGATAATGAAGATGATTCAAACATAGAGCTGGGCCAACACTAGAAAACCACTGCCTGAATGTGACTAAATGGGGCACAAAAGGAAGCACAGGTCCTATGGAGATCCTGTAGTTCCTAATTGTGTCTTCATATTATTTGGTCTGCATCATCTCACGAATTAGTGGGCAGCACTTAAGGAAGTGAGTTGCTAGAGCGCAATTGAAGATAGAGCTATCTCTCACTGATGTATGTACTATGATAGTACCTATTTTGTCGTGGAAACATATATTGTCCACATCATGCGGATGTTTAAATGGTGCACAAGCACCCATCCAACAATTAAAATTGCAAGGGAAGAAAATGGACGGTCAAGTGCGTATAGTATTTGAATTTAAATAATTTATTCATATTGTATTAACTTGAAATCAGCATTTTGAAACTCGGCCAGGTAACTCGGATTTGCCCTATGGGCGAGGCAAGTTTGCCCTGAGTACATGGTACATACATTTATAGGATAATAATGTTCCATTCTTAACGAGTAACATTCAAGTGGCACGCTGGGTAGCGTGTAGGCCTGTTGTCTTATACATTGAGGGTTCGAATCCCTCTATTATAACCTTGTCATTTTTTTTTCTAAGAGAAATCAGGAGTGACAAATCAGAAGACAATCATTGTGAAGAGGACTCTATCCCGAGACCTCTTACAAAAGCACCCCTGCACCCCTAAAAGGGAGAGAACTATCCATCATGCCATTCAAAGACTAGTGTTCTTAAATTGAAGTATATATTATATATATATTCTAATTTGTGAGTTGATTGTTTATTTTTTAAACTCGAACTCTACTCGGGTGAGTTACTCGGACTCGCCCGAGTAGCTCGACGCAAAGAGTACTAGGACTCGCCCGAGTACCTTGGCTGAGTCGGTTTTTTTAACACTGCTTGAAATATTGGGTATCCACACTCTCAATGAGGTGCTCCTAAAACAAATATAAAAAATAATTTGCAAAAAATAAATTGACCAAAATATCTTCTTGAAGCTGATAAATTGACCAAAATATCCCTAAAACAAAAAAGGTATTTTGGTTAATTTATTTTTCTGAATGATTTGTTTTATGTTTATTTAGGAGCAGTGCATACACCTTCAAAATTTCATAACAATCCGACCAATAGAAAAACAATTAAACTTAGGCTATGTTCGATGAAATAGGATTTAAATATTCAAAATTTTGAAAATTTGAATCAGAGCTTCTTTTAGCTTTCCATATTTCTGGATCTCAAATTATCCTCATATGTCCTTTTTTGTGCATGTTTGACTGCCTCCTCGTACTTACAGAATTTTGCTTGAAATCCTGCACTTGGTTATCAAGTATCTTTCTTGGTTATTCTCATAAAGCGATTCTTTCCTTAACAACCTACTATCCTAGCCAATAAAATCTACAATTCCCATGTAACAATACTGCAATTTCCTCAATAATTCCCCGCAATTGTCACCGGAGAATATTGGGCGTCATTGGTAAATGGACAACGATCGCCTCTGCAAGAAGTTTGAGCATGCTCTGGAGCCCAATATAAAAATCCTAACTAACGGTGATAACTGATAGGGCGCCATGGAAGCTACAGACCGAAAAAACAAAATAAATGGGGGACGAAGCCCTGGTATGAAGAAGGAGCTGTAACACACAAACCCTTTCCCCCCCTCTTCTCTCTCTCTCTCTCTCTCCTCTCT